AAGGATAAAGTGTTTTCCATAAAAGACCTTCACTGGGCTTTAGGTTGACTGCAAAAGGGAAGAAGGAAGTGGTGTTTCAGATACTTTAATCCAGAATAAAAATAAAGACTCTGCCAACAGATCTCTAAACCGTGGAATGTGTTTTCATCACTAAGTTTGAAATATCATTTCAGAGTCTTGGTCAGATTTATTGTTTGATTTAAAACAGTGTGGCCTAATTGAAGTCAATGGAGCTGTGACAGCTTATGCCAGCCAAGGGACTGACTGTCTGTTTCGGAATATTGTTTTCCCACAGTTGTCGTTGTTCCTCAAGACAGTGATAGATTTTCTGAGCGTTTCAAATACTTGAAGCATTCATGAAGTCTTTTTTAGGATTTTCTCCTACAGTTGTATCATCTGCAAATTTAGATCTCCTTCTCCATGTTTACCTCTCAACCTTGACATGATCCTTAACAGCATCACTGGTTTATTCAAGTCATCTCTTTATTCTAATGGTAGCATTGCTTTTTCATACTGGTAAGCTGGGTCACTTAATGGTGGGACAGTGCTTAGTGGATGGTCTCACTGCAGAGTGAGAGTTAAAAGAAAAACAGTTTAGGTGATTACAGCAATACCAATTACACTGGGTAAATACTGTCCCATCTCCAGACAAGGAAAATTATAGCAGATAGATAGTGTCTAGTTGTGTTAAAGGGCTTTTTGCTAAGAAGGGTCTGGATACAATTGCTGCAAAGTGGAATTACACAGACTGTCTGGATCCCAAAATATGAAGCATAGGCATGTTCAAAGCCTTTGTTGCGGCCAGAAAAGTATTTTCAGAAAGTCACTCTGAAATGCTTTCCTGGTACAGACCTGATTCTCCTTTGCCTTGCATTCTTGATAATCATTTGTACGTGTGTAAAGTGGGTATCATTTTGCAATGCAATGAAGAACTGGAATAACAAATTCTTTTGTGGTTATTTCATTTTGGATTGGTTTAATATTGCTATCAAACACTTGCAGCTTGGCAAAGGACTGCATCTGTTTTACATCTACCTTGATCAGGCATCCATATTTTCTGCCTTTGAAATATTGTGGCTGAATTCCTGCAATGCAGTGTACACTTACTTACCCAGGAATTTCTGGTGCCCAGTGCTCAACACCATGATTTATTGTTATGACAAGTGGCATGGCTGTAAGCAGTGGCTTAATAGGAAGCGTGAAGCAGGGCCCAGATCTGGTCTAACTAACCTCAGGAGGTCTCCTGAGGGCAGCTGAGGCAATCTGATTTAGGAATCTTCACTGACTGAGTAGCAAACACCTGCACCTTCCTGTGCAATGTTAAACCACCTTGGTACTGTTCATTGTCTGGCCATGGCCATGCAGTCTGATGACTAACAACCAGTCCCACCACACCTAACACCTCAGGCTCTTACAAAGTGTGAGGTGACTCCCCATCTCAACCTGAATCTCAGATTGGTTCAAGCAGAAAAGTATTAATCTCCCAAAATCAGGGTATTTCTGAGTCTCCACATCTAAGAAACTGTGAGTAAGCTCTGTGTGGTCAGGATAGCCATCTATAGTTTCTGACTGTGGTCAGAAACTTCAAGTGTTCTGTTGGTTATGAAGTGCTTTACAGGGTTTCTAGCACCTTTTCAGTGTATTTGCTCTCCTAAGCCAGAGGGTAGATGTGGTTCTAACCCAAACTGTTGTTCAATTGCTTAAAATAAACGTATCATTTCTACAATGTAGTAATTAATTCTAGAGAATAAGGCAATAGCAAAATGTGCATGAATGTTATGTGCCACATCATTAAAATGCAAATCGGTATTTTATTTTGACTGAATTATCTTGCTTACATACTTCAGAGAGAACAATCCAAAATGGAAGTCACAGATTTGAAATAATGGTCACTTTTTTGAAGAAAGCATGAAAAAATGTGTATATGTTTTCATCCTGATTACTATAATGTAATGAGGATCCTTGTAAAAATTCACCATATTTAAAAATGGAAAGGGTAGAAAGGGGACAGAGGACTACAATAGTAACAGCGTAAGTGGGAAAATATTGTAATGTTGTTCAGTTTCTTCAGTATATTGGCTATCATTAGAGCAGCAAACATAGATCTCCAGATGTTTGTGAAGAGTCCAACAGTTATATTTCACATCTATGGCTGTAGTAACAATTTCTATTCAGCAGCCTAAAAAAACATTTCATGTCACAACAGGAAAGAAATATTACTGTGGGGTTTTTTTCTCCCTCATCCCCTATATAGCAATTCTGAATACTTCAGTCAATGCCAAACAAAAATTATGGTTTAAAAATTAAAATCACAATCACTGGGGGCAGGATATAAATGTGCAGATGTTCTGTGATGTTGAAGTACTTTTCAGGCAGCAGTCACAATGATGTTGTGGAGAGGATGGGGAATCCATCAGAGCTGGACACTGTGAAAAGCATTCCTTAAGTTACACTGTCAGAAAAGGCACTTACCTTTCCATATTACCTGAAGAAAAAAAAAATCTAAACCAGAAAAATCACAGTGGCCTCTATATAGCTCTCACTATTATATTAGTAAGGGATTGACTATAATCTGTTAATATAAGTGAGCGGTGTAGATCTGGAGTTTACTGGGCAACCTGTGCAAGTGGAAAACAACATTGTCTCAAAGAGGTGCACAAACGTCAATTTTCCTTCTCCAGTGAGGAAAATTTTTACAAGCTTCTTAGCTGTTACTGTTTCAGGCACCTTAATGCTGTTATACAAATGCCTGCCTGAAAATCTTGTGTTTTCCACACTTACCTGGTCAGACAAAGGGACACAATGAATAACATCAAACCAGCAGAAGGCAAGTTTTCAAAGGCACAAATATATCTATTACATTAGTGTCTGTGTACGCTGACAGACCTCCTGCCTCCTAGAGCTGCATGCATGCAAGCACTTCTTGAAGGTGATGTGGTTGGAGCACTGTGTTGTATGGGACCGGTGCTCCAGTGGGGAAAGGCTGGCATGTGTTAAGGGAGACAGGGATGGGGATGGAAAGTGTGCACTGTGGGGAATCACAGACCTGAACCCACATCTCTTATGGGTTGGCCTCTTCTCCAGCACCAGAGCATGTCTGTTGTATGCAGTTCGTGTCAGGTATCAGATCCCAGTTCTCCAGAATGAAATGCACCGTTAGTAGGTAAAGACAATACATTAGGTGCAACATAGCTGAACTGTAATTAATTATCAGATGTTATTTCTTACAAAATGCATCTCTAAAGTTCCCATTGCATTAGCCACAATATTGGACTATGATGGAGCATAAACAAGGGTAATGATAAACACTGGTGAGCAGAATTGGGAAGGGTTGGTTATTAGGGTACCGGTGTGTTTCATGCAGGGTTTATTTAACAGTCTTATTAATGATCTGGAAAAGGAAGTGAATAACCATTTAATTAAATTTGCATTTGATACTAAATTAGAAGTTGCTGCAGACACCTCCGAGGGCAGAGAAGTAAATCAAAAAGAGCCAGAAGCGTTAGAAGCATGTACAACAAAGAAGAAAATGAGATCTGGCATGGAAGGAAGAAAAAAACAAAGCAAGCTAATCTCTCTGGAAGCAAGTAATCTAAAGTGTAGCTATCAGTGGAGGAACTCTGGAGAAAGAAGTGTTGAAAGAGATGTAGGAGTGTTAATGGACTATATATTCCGTCACAGCTCTGGTGTATGTTTACAAAAGCAACAGCATCAAGGAACAGGGATGTAATAGCCCTTCATTGTAGGGCTCTACTGAGAACCATCTATAATGTAGCACTCTGTTTTGGGCATCCTGTTATCAGAGAGATATAGACAAATTGGAATGAGTTCAGAAAAGAGCCATAAAAATGATCCTGTATCCCTGGAGATAATGACTTATGAAGAAAGATCAGAAGAAGTATATGTGTATGGCCTTGTCTGGAAGATGACTGAAGTAGGGCAGGAAAACAGTCTGCAAATATGTGAAAGGAAAAAGGGAGGAGGATAATTCATCACTGAAACTATTAGTAATAGGATGAAATAATAAGTAACAACAATAAATTTTAAAAGGGCAACTTCAGGTTGAACGTAGGGAGAAATCTCTGACAGTGGAATTTGGGTTAGTTTGCAGAGAAGTTTCCCAGAGGTAAAAGTAAAAGCTGCATTCAAGTCATTTAAAATCCAATTGGACAACTCACTAGAAAATGCATCCTGCTACAGGGAACAATCTTGCATTGCCTAGGGAATAAGCTGGATGACTTAATAGGACATTTCACACTCAAGCCTTTATGACTGTGGTATTTCAATATGCATGGTCAACTATTTGGGGAAAGTATACTTTTCTTCTGCTGTCAGGCTTGATAATACAAACACTTGCATGCAAACATAACTTTTAAGAAGTCAAGCAGCTCTGCTGACAGCACTGCTCTGCTGATGTGCAAAAACACGAGTCTGATCTCTTCATGCTTCTGCAGGATCAGAGCCTTAGATCATGCAGTTGTCAATATCAAGGCAACCACATCTCCTGTGGGTAGGTAAAGCAGTGTGCAGGAACAAAATGAGAGTAGGAAGCTCCACACTTATTATCAGGGACATATTATTATTGTTATTCTATTACTGCTGTAAATGACTGGTACTGTGTACTACAACTCTGTTGACTGTTCACCTTTTCCAGCTTTCACCTCTGCACAGGGTTCATTAGACACCATTAAGACTGCTTCCTCTGTGCTATTTTTACCACGTTTGATACTTCTAATGTATCCTAAACAGTTTGTTGAATGAGAACAGAGATGAGCTGAATTGAAAGCGTTATCCTCCCTGGTGTGAAGAAGGGACATCAAAGGCTCTAGATGTAAATGCACATACAGCTGACCCCAATCGTAACATAACGTTGAACTCCCTTCACCCTTCAATAGAAGCAGAGGCAAGCTCACAGATAGGTATGCTCCCAATACACCACGGTTTTTAAGTGTTTCTCTCTGTGTGTTTTCTCTTCTCGCCTCCCATTCCTATGGGCCCAGCAGCCTGGTGGGGCCGCAGTCCAGCACCCGAGCCCCGGGACTCTCCAGCAAGGGGTCGAGCAGCAGCAGCTCCAGTGAGTCTGAGAGCAGCTCGGAGTCTGACTCAGAGAGCGAGAGCAGCTCCAGCGAGAGTGACGGCAGCAAGCCCTCGCATTACTCCAGCCCAGAGGTAAGGGTTCCCGCTCTTTGTGATTCGGGGTGGCAATCCACTATTACGCCCACTCAGACCTTTTTTCCAGCCCAGGAGCCTGGGAGGAGATGCACAAAACCAAAATGGATGCAAAAAGTACAGGGATCCTCCTCCTGGCACCCTATGAAACGCAAGCGGTGGGGGATGCTGGGATAGATTAAAGCAAAAGAAATAAAAATGAAGAAGGAAATGACCGTGTGATATTTCCCTCGAAATGGAGCCCTTCACAAGGCTCACAGCTTGCTGGAGGTTTTGTGCATTTCTGCCTCCATAGCAATGGCTTTCTGACTGCGTAAGTCCTGGTGTGGGCTCTCAGCACTGCAAGGGAACTAAAGGCTTCTCCACACAGGGAAGCTATTATGAAATCATTTCGAGGGTGGATTTTTAAATCAAAATAGTTGTTTTTCACTCACGCACGTCCCTCACCTCACTCCCCATGTGAATTATTCTCCACTGCTGCTGCCTTTGTGTGATTTATTTTAATCCACCTCCAGCATGGACTAAACTGAATTACTCATGGTGCAAAACATTAAGCCCAAACTTGCCATCTGGAAAGTTAGCATTGAAAATTTCCACATGTAGACAAGCCCTGGCCAAAGTACAATTAAGCTGCCAGTGCTGTGCCACCTTCTGCTTTCACCTCTACACTGTGCTAAGCAGAAACTACAGGCTGCTTTCCATACTCTGTTTGTCTACCACATGACATTTTTATGTGTTTTGGTCAATACACACCTTTAGTATAAAACCGTGAACTCCACAGCCTTATCACATGCATTAATATATGTAAAAATATTCAAAATCTAGTGACAAGATTGTAAATACACATAAAATACAGGCAGTGTATTTTCCTGTTCCACATAAAGCATCCCCTCACTGGACTCCTCCCCTGACAACTAAGCCTCACAGATTCTCTCACCCTGAAACATTATCCTGAATAACCAGCAAGCTTTTCCTCATGTTTTGCTCAGCATTTGGGGCCATGTTTCCTACCAGGGAAAATGTACCACTCACAGAAATGTCCTGTATTTTTCTATATTCTATGCACTCCATATTTTTCTCATGTTTTGTTCCTTATTTACCACTTATCTTCCTCTCTTTCCTCAACAGTGCTTTCAGATTCATTTCAAGTCAATTTTCCTCTCTTTGTCCCTTTCCTAAGGCGCTCTCTTCAGTTTTCCTGTTTTCTCCCTTCCAGCCTCTCTTCCCTCTCTGCACTGTCCATTTCTTATTTCCCATCCTGAGTCCACTCATCTGACCCATCATGACCTTGCTCTGTCCATTCCCTGCTGGGTTTGGTGTAGAGGTCTCACACTCCTCTCCCAGTGGGAATCTGAGAAGGTGGAAGAAAAGGAGTGAAGAGAACCATAGTAAGAACCATAATAGAAGAGAAGGAACTACAAGATAAAAGGGGAGGAAGCATAGTACCCAGATAAGATAAAAGAGCATCTAGGCAGATAGCTGTGCTGCTTGGACCTGAGAGTAGGAATTCCTCAGGGAATATGGAAAGTGAATTAACAGAGGCGGGTCATGGGCTTTGTAAAGTCAAGCAAGGGACAGAGAGGCATGGAAATGTGAAGGAAGTACCTCCTCTTAAAGCATTTTATAGGTATCCTCTTCAGATACATGGAACTACTGTGTTATAGAGTCTGAGTTATCAGTGATTCCTGTCACAAAACAACTGTGCGGCTCCAACAGATTGTTTGTCTCTCTGCATTGTATTTGAATGGTTTGCATTCCAAGGCATGCTGTACAAAACACACTTGTATGTGTGCCATCACAAAAATGTGATGGCTGCAGCGGTTTCTGTAGCGCATTCTTTGGAATACAGGAGAAGTCATGACATTCACCAGCATAGGATCACCATGTACCAGGGCAGTAGGATATCTGTGCTTTTCCCAAGGCCCCGTGTTTTCCCAAGCCCATTATATGACTGATGGCATCAATTCAAAACCTCTTTATGTGACATCTCTGAGTAGAAGCCCTATCTGATTTGCATTAATGCTTTAACTTACAATTAGGAACCCAGTGAAGCCACTTTCCTAAAGTACATGCCATGTTCTTACCCCATAAATTGAGAGATACAGGTCCTTGGGAGCTCTTTTGAGGGAGGTCCTGTCCATCTAAATTTAATTAGTGGTCTCTATCCCATGGTCTTATGATTAATTTCATCTATTGGATAAGTCAGAAGAAGAAAATACATCTTTGTCATTGCGTACACATAAAACAATAAATTCAAGTACAATGAACTTGAGTACTCCAGCACAGTGTTGGACAGAAAACCCGTATCTCCAGGTTGGAAGGAATTTCTGGAAATCTGCAGGGCATTATGAATTCTCCCTTCTTTTCTGTAAACAGAAATATCATCTGTGTATACTTACAAGACTTTTATTTCTAGGACAGATTATCTTCTGTATTTTAGTTTATATAGGAATTCAGCTGCTGTTACAATTCTTCTGTATTTTTTCTGCATCTCGTGTTGAAATCTTTGAGTTGTTTTTCCGTGTCTAAATGCAGTTGCCTAGAGTGTAAAAGCAGCTCATTGTAAAGTATACATATAAAATAGATTAGATGAATTGCACCCTAAAAGTGTCTGTTTCTTTCCAGTGACTATTTAGAGCCTGTAGTGACTAGCTCAGCTGTCTACACTTTATGTCTGCAGTAAACTAAGAATAATGGCTGAGCTAGAACAGGAGACAACATTCAGACTGGTTTCAGTGATGTGGACAAATTAAGGTGCCTCAGACAGTAATGCAAGTAGTTACAGTTTTGTGAACTGCCAAACCTGAAATTATGAACAAGGGACTGAGACTTCTATCTCCTGTTTCTTTGCTGAGACCATGAATTCTTTGCATGACCTTAATTAATGTCATAAATGAAGACTCTGGAAAACAGAAACTTCCAATTATTTCAGATGGTAAAAAAAAGCGTAGATCTCGAGTCCACAGAAGAACCACATTTCAAAAGCTAAGAATTTAGTTTGTTTGTTCTTTGTTCCAATTATCTTCCGGACCTTTAGTAAGACCAAGCCTCATTAGACAGCTGAGGAAGTCCCACTGTGCAGGAAGGCCTAGAGGAGGAATGGCAGGAAGGGAGCAGAGAAGGCACTGCATAGGAGAGAGCATCCACAGTAACAAGGCCAGAAGAGAGAGGTGTGCTGTCCTGGGTGCTGCCAACAATACACAACAGTTGCAGTGTCCTTTATAGCCTTTGCTGTAGTGACCAGTTCATAACCATCAAAGAATTTTTTTCTGTGCTTATTCCATCATCCTCGGATATTCTCTTCAATCTCAAGTCAAAACGGGACTGACCTGGTCAAGCCGAATTGATTGGTTATGCTTTTCCCCATCTTCCTTCCTCATCAGCACTGTCCATCCAATCTTTCAAGTGCACGGACATCAGTACAAGTGTCTGAGCAGCCACTGCCTGCAGATGCCTATTGTTCCCTCAGGTATTGTACAGCATTGGCTCTCCTCTCCTTAGCCCAGAAAAAAGGAAAGTTGTGTGCACCTAACTAATCACCTCACTGGTGAGCATGCCCCACTCACCTCTTCCTTCCTTTGCCGATAGATTTCCTCAGTGAATCCAAAGAGCTGTAGTTTTAGGGTTGGGTTTAGGGATGATGTTACATTTTCTGTATCTTGTTTTCTAAAATATTCTTGCTTCCCACTTTAAGTATCACAATTTGATTTCCTGAGTGGTACGTTCAGAAGAAAGACCAACTGTGGAAACTATTTTTACTTTGGCTTATAGGATTCAAGATCACCACTGCACCATTTTTTGCTACAAATTTCTCCCTTTCCTCCTGAAAATACTTTGAGACAGGAGCAACCTCTCACTTTATGTGTGCACCTATAGGAATCTCCAGTTCTAGTCTGATGAAGCACTAACAGTAGCGGCAGCAACATCATCATCAACATCAACATCTTCATCATCTGTCTTAACTACAATGAAAATACCACGTGTATAAGGGATTGCACTGGATGAAATATTTGATAGTAGGACAGCACAAGTGGGTAAATATTTGATAGTTGGACAGCACAAGTAGGTTATCATAGGGGTAAAATAATTTGCTGATTTGCAATTGACTAAATATACTGCAGGGATTGCTCACTCCTAGTCCACAATGGGTTAAATACATGCACATTACAGACAATCCAATCTCTCAATGAAGGGGGTGTCATGCTTCAACTTTATGATAGTACTAGCTACACCTTAGTTCCCTCTTTGTAATAACAAGCATAGAGTTATCCCATTACACTTACATGGTTTAACAGCCCTTCACCCCAGAAAGCCTTTCTGGATAATGAGTTTTGACAAAGGTTTCTTTTGGATGTATGGCTCTGATTGCATTTGTAGCCCAGAAGACATCTGAGATATATAGACATACTGTGTAGGAGTCAGCCCACCCAAATTTGGACACTTATACTGTAGATACCTACATCTGTTCATCACTTCAGCCTCTTCTTTACTTTACAGATAGCAGAGAGGAACAAACATTTTTCATCTGACCTATTTCAGATGCCTATTTTGAGATGAAATGTTTCACATCCTGCAAGAGTAGGCCACTGTATGGAGAAGGAATTTGTTGACAAACTCAGATTTTGTTGTCTGTATTGTACAGATGAATCCATCCACTGTTATTAAATAAGTGGATCACATCCTTCTGTTTCTCACTGAAGCCCAGCACATCTGCATTTGTGTTGCATTAGTTCCTGGAACCGTCCTGCTCTGATAGAGTTTTCCTGGTTTGGGTTTTCACGCCAAAACCACAGATGGATTTTCGTACAAAAGCTATTCATGGCAAGTCAGCTTCACCGCTGACCACTGTTCCTATTGCTGTCAACCATTTGGCTATTACCAGCTTTACCCCAATTAAAAGCTGTCCCGTGCTTGTCAGGGCCTTGAGGGCAGTATATTTCTCTTGCACAAGACCATTTTTCCACCGAATCCCTCAACACCTTTCCATCCTTACATGCTGCTGAAGCTATCTCACTTCAAGCAAACCAACTTTTCTTCCACAGAAATGTGTGTGACCTGTACAGGAAAGAGATACAGATTGAAGAATTAAGGATTTTTATTTCCTACCACAAATAATTACTGTTGGGCATGTAATGTGGACTGATAAAACCTTGCAAGTGAATCTTCCCAATCCGTTTTCTCACCGGGTCTGTTCTTCCCTCTTGACTGTTCTCTTGCAAGTTATATTGTTTTTGAAAGTGATTTCAAAGTACAGTAGTTTTCAGTTAGAGCAATCAATTGAATATACTGCTTTCAAAAGTGAATTGGCATCACTCATGTACATTGATTAAATTCTATCAGGGTCCCCAAAATACTGAGAAAAAAAATAGAAATTTTGATTTTTCAGAATTTGTATTCTTTAAATTTACATTATGGGCTGCAGGCTTTTTACTTTTTAGCAGACGCATCTTAAAGCGTTTTTTTTTAGCAGACACATCTTAAAATTTGTTTCAGCCGCCATATGGGCTTGAATTTTTATTTAAATAAACCAAGGATATACATCTAAGCCCATGGTTTCAAGAGCTGTGGCTTTAAGAAAACATGAGTGTCCTGAAACTCCTGAAAAAATTAGCTAAGTTGGCAATACTGTTGATACATTCTATTAGACTTCATAGTTGGCTTACAGCTTGGTGGGAGTGCAGCTATTCCATCTAAACAGCAGACACATCAGTGTAGGAAAGTGCCATATTGACAAGTTATGACACTATAGCAGTTAATCATTGTTTTCTGCTGGTTTACTGTTATCCCTTGAACTGCTGCTTTTGAGAATGACAAGTTACTTATAGAGGATGGGATGTAACAGGAAACCTGGAAGATTTTTTGAAACTTTCAAGCTGCCCTCACTCTGGCCTATAATTATAGGTAGAGGTATATTTTTTTAAACCTGCTTTTGATGTATGTGCTTTTGTTAAATATATCTCCTGAACACAGCAAAGACCTCCATATATAGTGAACGTTTCATTATATGTGTACATTCATTATATGTGTAATTATATGTATAATATATTACACATATAATGAATGTACACATATGCACATTATATTATATAAGTCCAGTATATGCATAATGAATAGCACCAAATGCATCCATCTCTACTCTCAGCAGCAGTAAAACAAAACAAAACAGTTTCTTTTACATAAAGAGTTAAGAGTCTTAAAAATACATCTTCATCCAAGAGAAATGTTTCCCAACCATTTTCAAGATTTACAACTCTGGAAAGAAATTCATTATGTAAGATATTAGGGAGTAAGATTAAGAAAAAATAAACTCAAGGCCATCCAGCAAGCTTCCCATAGGTATTGGCTAGCTGGATAATAAGTAAATTAGACACTTCAGAGGGAGGAGTATTTGTATCATATGAATTCCAATGTCTCACTGCTCTGCTCATTTTAGGAGCCTTTGTTTCCTGTACAGTGAATACAGCCCTTCCAGGGTGACTCTGAAGGCACCCTTAGCTATGAAGGAAGCCTGTGCTGCCTTCAAGCAACTTCTTTTAAAGGAAGTACCTTTAAGTTGGAGACTGTCTTAAATTAAGGACTGGATGTTCTCTCCTCAGCAAATTCTCTTCCAGAGCATCAATAGTTTTCATGAGCAGTAGTCTAGCTGACCAAATTTTGGTTCCAGTTCATGAAATTAGGGCGCTTTTCACATTGGGTTAGAATGTGGTTTAGAATATGGTTGGCCATCCACTCCACCTTTTTTTTTCTTTCCCTTTCCTATTCATCTTGTTGCATTCAAATTACTGAGTGCAAGAAGCACTAGAAAACACTTGCACATTGTTCTGTAATAACATTTTCTGAGCTGTGGTTACATTTGAAATCATAATTATCCCACCACTTCACTGTCCAAACACCATTATATTTTAGATGCTCTCTTATAACTTGATCATGTTGTGACAGGAACAAAGAGGACAACTAACAGCTACACAATACTTACCAAATGAGCACTTGACAATACCACCACAGAGCAAATGTTTGCGTGATCTCACAGGATTACAACATCAATACCAAACAGACTATATGCATAGCCTGGTTAGCACTCCCTTCTCCCACTACATGCCTCTGCATGTTGTTTAAATTCTTACTGTATTTAATGCGGTGGTGCAGGACACAAAATATACAAACCTAGCTTTCCTCTAGGTCAACCTCAGCCATATCCCTGCCTTGTTTTCCACCTTTCCTATCCCCGTTATATTTTCCTCTGTTTGGAAACTCAGGAGTGTTTCCCAGTAAAGCTGAAGCCCGTATGAATCATCCCAAGAAATTCTGACTCACGGAATCCATCCTCCTTCCCAGCCTCCTCCAGAAAGCAAAAACATCCCACCTCCTGGGGCATGCCTCCCATCTCCCAGCCCTGCTGCTGAACCAAGGCTGCCATTGGGCAGTACCGAGCATCCTCCTTGCCTGCTGACCTGGCAGCCTTACCTTTCCCACCCACAGCCAGAGTCCTGGGGTGCCATGGGGTGGCCTTTTGCTAAGGGTAAAACCTGTGTTTGGTGGCACTGGTGTTTTGGTGTTCCTGAGGAAGCTTTGCAGGTGAGGGCGGCGGCACTAAGCGTATTGCCATCTTGCTTTCCTTTCAGCCCGAGCCACCCTCATCTAACAAGTGGCAGCTGGACAAGTGGCTGAATAAAGTTACCCCACACAAAGCACCCATCCTGACCCCTCACGACGGTTCGGCCCTAGAAGCCCACCCCTACTACGGCCACGTGAAGGCGGAGCGGCAGGAGGACGAGAAGACCCCGGCCCCGGGCCCAGCTGAGCACCGCGGCGGGGAGAGTCGCACCGCCGCCGCCTCCACCGCCGCCACCGTCGGGGACGGGCCGCGGCCCAGGACCGCCAACAAAGCACCGGGCAGCAAGGGAGGACGCCAGAAGTCACCCCCCGCCGCCGACGGCGGGCCGCCCAGGAGGGCAGCGGGGAAGAAGGCTCCGCGGCGAGCCGAGAGGAGCTCCGCCGGAGACGGCTCCCACTGCCGTGGGGCAGAGGAGCCCGCCGGGAGCCACGGCTTTCTGGAAAGCGCCGGCAGCGAGGCGCCCAGGGCCCGGCCCGGCGCGAGCGTCGGCGGTGCGGGCTGCAGAGCGGGGCATCGCCGGGAGCCCCGCTCAGCCGCGGCCGGTGAGAAGCGGCGGGCCCGGGGGCCGAGCAAAACGGCGCCCAAATCCAAGGAGTTCATAGAGACCGAGTCCTCGTCCTCGTCGTCCTCCTCCGAGTCGGGCTCCGAGTCGGAGCGGGAGGAGCGCCCGCTGCCCAAGGCGCAGGCGGCGGCCGGGGCCGAGCCGCATGCCAAGGACTCGGGGTCGGGAGCCGCCAGCAAAGCCCACGGCGGCTGCAGTGCCTTTGGCTCCATTAATGCCAGGACTAATAGTGAAATAGCAAAGGAGCTGGAGGAACAGTTTTACACCCTGGTTCCTTTCGGTAGGAATGAGCTCCTGTCTCCTCTGAAAGACAGTGATGAGGTAAAGTCGCTGTGGGTCAACATTGACTTGGCTCTTTTGTCCAGGATTCCAGAGCGTTTGCCTGAAGAGCCGCTGGCAATGAGCGCCGGAACAAACCAGGCGGCCAGCGTCCCGCAGGGTGGTAGTGCTGAGCTCCCTGCAGAGAAGGGCTTACCGAAATCTAGAAGGAAACGCAAGGTGAGCTCTGGGGGGGTGGGGGTGGCCGCTCGGAGCGGGGAACTGGGGAGAGGCCCCAGCATCACTCACGCCCGCATTGCTGCTCAGCAGCGAGTCCTCGCCGCGCCTCGGCTCTGCTCACCACGGAGCAACCGGCAAAGCCTCCGAGGCGATGAAACCCCTGGGCCTTGGAGATGGTGTTGGCTACTGGCACGTTGCTTTTTGTGCCTTGGTCAAAGCGAAGTCGGGTAGCTTTCTCTCCTGAAGCTTCTTGCAAAAGAATAGAAGGAGCTCTTAGAGGCACTGCTTAGTTTGGCATAGGGAATGTAAGTGGCTGTCTTGACACAGTCTGCACAATGTCACTGCATATTTGCAAAAAGGGAGCAACCCTTTTCCCCTCATATTGACAGCAAGGGGCGAGTCCCTCAGTCCCTGCAGGCAGCCCAGCTCAGCGGCGACTTGCCTCGCTCTGCAGCTTGCCCTGCTCTTACCTCAGGGCTCCCACACCAGCATAAGAACCGTGAGGGTGCCTAATGAGTTGTCCCATCCCCAGGCAGCACTTCTGTGGGCACAACCTCCTGGTCACATCCACCCCTCTGCCATGCCACTCCTGAACATTTCAGGAGCCACCAGGTGTGCCAGCTTTCTCTTGACGAGGAGCTCCCTTCACCCAAAGGCTGCAGCTGTCCAATGAGGATGCTTTCCGCTCCATTTGTGACAGTCTGACCCCAGAAGTCACTTTGAACTGGAATCACCATCTGCTCATTTTCTGAACAGTTTTACTGTGTAGTCATCTGTCACCATCTGAGTTACCCTACATGTGCAGACTGATCTGCACGTTTCTTGGGACCATTTATCTAAAGTGGTCTTCCATTTTTTTTTTCTCTCTTCATTTTTTGTTCTTGTTTGTGTGTTGTTGTTTTTTCTTTTTTCTTTTAAATACTTGAAAGTATTTTTTCAGTATCTACCAATGGAAGAGCTACTAATAAGCTTTGAGATGCATTTATTTGCGTTTTCTTCAGGAAGTAGCGTGGAAGTAATTGCACAATACAAAGTGATGGAGACCGGGTCAAAGCAGGGCAGAAGCAAAAGATTTACATTCTGTGTTATAGGAAATTTCTTTGTCATACTGCCAGCCCGTACACCCAGAAGGAAACAAGGATATGATAGAAGAGCAGAATAAATGCAGTCATTCTAGAAAAGCTTAATTTGATTTTCTCTGGCACAAATTATGTTTTTGTCTTCTATCTTAAAGCATTGCTGTTGTTGGAAGTTTTATTGTTACAATAAATACAAGGCATTGCTGGAGTACCAAATTGCCCTTCAGCTTGGAATAGGACCGTCCCTGTGATAACTGCCATGCAAACACACAGTACTTGATCTGCCTTCCCATAAGACTTAAGGAATAGGACTGATAAGAATAGATCATCAGGCATAATTGCAAAATTAGAAAGAGGTCTTTATCATTTCCACCTCTGTCATGATCTAAAGAAGATGGGGAAAGCAAAGATGGGAAAAGATGGTTAAGCACTTGAGGTGTAAGATCTTCACTCCCATGGAGAGTGAGCTATGTTAATCCTTTAGCAACAGCTACGGTGGCAGAAAATACCAGCAAATGTTATTGTTACACAGCAAAGCACTAAATACAGCATGATCAACAGGTCACAAGTAAAACTTGGTCATCAGTGGAAATGAGATAAGTGTTGGAAGTGGTAAGGGATGTGGGCATCGTAGGAAGATGGGAAAACGGAGCCACCAGTGGTTAGATGTAAGGAAAGCAAGACAAAGTCAGATAGTGGCAGGAAACATGGGCTACATTCATATGAGTAGGCCAGATGTGGCCAGGATGTAGCATCAAGCAGTGGCACACAGTCATCCGCTTTGCTTGATTGTTAACATGCTTGCTTATGTGGGCCAACTTCTTCCAGACACTTTGTGGCCCCAGCTAGGGACCACATCTCCTAAGGGCCCTTCCCAAAAGGCAGCCTGAATGTGGCATACCATGGTTTGAAGGAGGAGCAAGCTGAGCACGTGTATGCAAGCTGTTCCTTTCCAACTGGCCTCAGATGCTGATCAGCCAGTTGCTGATCTGTTGTATTTAGTAATGCAGGGAATGTCACTGCTGCCAAGAAAAGAGAGGGAGAGGCAAGAGGAATGAGGTTAAGCACTAGGCAAGAGAAAAGCACACAGGAGATGGGCAAAGAGGGCAATACAAAGAAAAAAATATCCGAAGGTGCAGGTGGGAATGCGGTTGAAACAATTCAAGTTTTATATTGTACTCCTTTGTCTACACACTGCCTCTTTAGATTTTAGTTTTTCAAGATGTGAACCAGTCTTCTCTCATCCTTGTTAGGTATATGCTTAAGGAAAGCATCAGTGTGTCAGAAAACCATCATCTGATTTGTCAGAGTGCTTTGAGATGTTCAGTAAATGCAAAACCTACAAGATACAATTTTTCTCTTTACTCAGTGTGAGAATGAGGAAGAGTACAGAGACATCAAGAAGACTCATTTAGAGCGAGAGAGTTCTTCACGATTAGCTGCCTCTGCCCACAGCATCACAACAGCAAATCACTGCAATGTAAATGAAAATAGGTAAGCATTTTCCTTCTTATTTACCACCAAGTCATACAACTAGTTGCAGTTTAATGTCCTGTGTTATTTTTGCCTGTAATACGAGTTATTTTTTAATTATCACATTTTATGTTGAAAAATTGCCCAGTGCATTCTGCTTTCTTCTGGTTTAATGAACAACTTAGCAGCTCCTGACACATTTATATACTCACATTTTTGTCATATTGTGCAGAGTTGTTAGTTCAAGTGTGAGGCTCATGGAATGAGTAAGTATAGCTAGAGCAGTGCAGTCATCTGAGATACATTCTCAAACGTTGCCCTGTAGGCATTGGTTCACTTGGGCAGCCATCTTGTCTTTCTTTACAGCATTACAAGTTTCAGACTTAAAGTTTGATTGTATGCCTGGGTTTAAGTCAGTCAACAGTATTTAGACTGAAATTGCCTGAAATACTCAGTTCCAGAATACATATCTTTTTCTGTCAGTGTCAGGATATCTATTAGGGCGAGACTGCTAAAATTAAAGAATATTTCTATTTATTGCAATAAGTATTTCTATTGTTCATATCGCTGATGAGTCTGACCAATTCTTATCATTAGCACTGGCAAAGAATCATGATGAAAACAAACACATACGCTGCTTATTCAAAAGTATGCTTTCAATTTCTTTAACCTAGAACAAGTCACATTTCATAAAGTGAAAAAAATGATGGAACAGTTTATTTTACTGTGTGTGAAAGCACACAGACACACCATTCCTGTTACCACTCTCTGTGTCTCAAGGTTAATTCTGAGCTTCCTGGAAGCAGGGCAGTAATTTGCATTTTGCTTAACATTGTGTTCAGTACTTCTGATAGTAACTGTGCATTAAAGAAATAAATATATAAAAAAAGAAAGTCTTGAATATTTGCTTCTTAATTCTTCCCTCATTGGCCCTGCTTCCCAGAAGTTTGTGTGGTTTATGCTACTGTAGGTCATGCACAGACAGTTATGTCAGCACAGCTGATAGCAAAGAGAGGAGCAAAAACACCTTCAGACTTGAGAATTTGATACTGTAGAGCCTAATGTAGAATCGTAGAATGATTAAGGTTGGAAAAGACCTCTCAGATCATGTAGTCCAACCACCAGCCACACCATGCCCACTGACCACATCCCTCAGTGCCACATCCACATGGTTCTTAAACGCCTCCCTGGGCAGCCAGTGCCAGTGCCTCATTACTCTTTCTGAGAATAGTTTTTTTCATAATCTCCAACCTGAACTTCCCTTGCACAACTTACAGTCTTTAGCAACATACAACAAACTTTCCTCCTATGTACAGACTAAACAAGGCCTTGTTTGATACAAGAGGCAACCACAGCAGGCATAGTAACTGTAAATATCTTATACCCTTACATCATACATCTGTGAAGTCCCAGCAGACTAGAATGTGCTGTGTATTATTTTGCACAGCTTCTCAGGATAACAAGGTTGAGATGCTATAGCTTGACTGCTCACAGTACGTGTAGGTGGGCCCCAAGTAAAGTGCCAGGGGCCATGCAAAAGGCCTGCCACACAAATAGAAATAGCAGCTAGTCCTCAAGCTCTGGGCCAAGCTTTTGAGGCTTGGGTACACTTCCAAAGAGCCACGGCTTCTCTTGGATGCTGCAGTCCTGCACTTTGACAGTGATGTATAAACATGGCTAGCCAAGGCATGGTTTTATGTTTGAAAAAGGAAAAAGAAATAACAGCATCAGCCTGCACATTCAAAATAGTGCTAAAATTCTTATTTTTCTTGGAGGGAAAAGAACAACACAGCTGTCCACTTAACACACCCCATGTCCTTCATTCATAAACAGCACTTGGTCATTAAAGCAAAACAGTTTGTGTTGTGTTTTAAAAGTACTACACTGTGGGAAACAGGAAAGGTTCTGAATTATGATTCATGGCTTCTCTCACAGCTAGTTTTTAAAGACGTGCCAGATAAATGGACAAATGTATGATAAGAGCACATTTAATTAGCTCTGTTCCCTGAAATGATGTGCAGAAATAAAGTATATTTTGTACCGTATTCCGTTGTGCGATTCCATTAAGTGTACACTGTCTGATACAGTAACTATAAAGAAGTGAGAAGTGTCCATAAAAAGTAATAGGCTGAATAAAGGGGAATATGACATGGGAAGGTATTGTGTTAAAATAGTCTGTCTGACCTTAATCACAGTTTTTGTCTTAAATGCAAACCATCTCCTTAAGAATGCTTATTTTGTGTGTGTGGCTTTAAAAATACCAGATACGTATTTTCTTTAAATTAGTGCATCTAGAACTTATTTAGGTGGTATTTTTATAGCTTGTTAGACTTCTCATCCAAAGCTTCTCTAATATAAATGAAAATTGAAAATACTGTATGGCTTTCTTCTTTACAATATAGACCAGCTCACATTTCTCCGTGTCTACCGTTTGCATATGTTTCCTTTTGTCTGCATTACCAGCCTATCTTTCTTTGTCTTTAAAATCGGTGTTAGATCAGAATAAACAGTGCTACCAAGGGCTGCCCATTGAACACAAAGACAACCCAGTCATCTTTAAACACATTTCCTCTTTTAGTTCACGTTTGGCTTTATTGCTGTGGCTTATAAATTGTCACCTCTAATAGTGAAATAGGGCTCCATAACCTAAACTTACACTTCAGAGTCTAATCTTCGTCTCCGGCTATCCCTTAAGAGATGGTGAGCAAGTGGCCATTTATCTCTGTATTTTTTTCAAGCACTCTGATACAGACTTGATATTAACTCCAGAATTACAATTTGCCTTGAAGGAAAAGAGGATAAACATGATACAAATTTGTAAATGAACTCTTGGTCCCAATACTGTAAGCTTGTTACCAGATACCAATAGACTTTATACTGCCAGCAGGTTTTAAATTCAAAGTTTTGGTAATATATAAAACATTTACCTTTCTCAAACCCAGCTTTGTGACACTCTATTACTGTAATTTCCATTTCCAGTTTGGCACTACCAATAAATAAAAATGAGAAAGTGCTTCGGTCACCCGTCTCTCCCCTCTCTGATGCATCAAAACACAAATACTCCAACGATGATTTAACTTCCTCCAGCAGACCTAATGGCAGCAGTCTATTACCTTCCATCTCCTCCAGCAAAAAGCATAAGGGTGAAATCCAGTCACAGCCACATCTCGGAGACTTCAATGTAAGTTGTACTGTTGTTCACAATATAAAACCCTATCTTGATGTTTTTCATTTTGTATTGAATCTAAGATAACTTTGCAGAATCTTATGCTAAAAAGTTGTAATAATGAATGTGGTATTGTAAGTTTGGTTTTTCTGTTCTGGGATTTAGCAAGGCACAGAAGAACAGCAAGAAGGCTGTAAATTGGACAAATAACAAAGGCCGCATAAGCAAAAGGTAAAAGCTAGTGGCCCAGAATTAATAGATTTAGGCCTGTAGAGTATTTTGGGGGCATAATGCAATCAGAAGTGTGGTGCACTTATAAGACCTCTGCTCAGCCACTGCCTACCTGTGAGTGTACCTGGATTTAAGTAATTCTCCATGGCTTCCAACCAGCTTTCTCATACACTACTGCTTGCTGGTGACACCACTGAAAAGCTTAGCATGAGTCTTGCAACTCAGCTCCACCACAGCTCAGGCATTTAGATATTTATCCTGTCAGAGAATCTTAATGACACTAAAGGTTTCCAGAGTACCCTTCCTGGTAAGGACTCATTAGTAAACTGGGGGTTAGCCACTGTCTTCAGAGTACAGTGAGAGTGGGAATGGATATTCCCCTCCATTTATCCGTGAGCTCTGTGATTAGAACACTGGACTAAAGAGTCTGTTACCACTTCTGGTTGAGGGGATTCATATTTCTCTCACATCTCCCAATAGTATCCTACCATCCAGCCTGCAGGACACTTTGGTTAGAAGACTAAGGACAGAATGTTGCCTCTTGCAGCTTTGTGCGAAATACCTAGAAGAAGTAACTTGGATACTGTCACATTGATATCCACTGCTGTAGCATCCAGTCGAGTTGCTGAGGCACTCTTCTGTTGCTAGAAAGGCCAATGCTCCATTCTTTGCTACAGAAGATTTTATCCAGTGTGTATTTGTTTTTAAACATTATGTTATTTGATAAATAACAGGTTTCAAAAGCCAAAGTATTAGTGCCTAAGCAGCTTTTGGGAAAGAGAATACCTGAGTTGTACCAATGGTCTCTTCCAGCCACTTTTGCTATGGGGATAATTGACCTGTGAGGATAACTAGCCCATAAAGACTTATGTATATACTTAATTGTATTTTTTTTTAAGAGTGAAGAGGGGACTAGTAAATATAATCTTAATTTTAGACATTGTAAAAAAATAATAAGTTGTCATTAGTTACACCTTTCAAGACATTTTAACATATAGCAGTGGTAGATTTATTTTTTCATGGATTAAATGTAAATTTTAAAACTTTTTAACTTTTAAAACATAAGTTTAGGGATTTATAACCCATTCAGAATCATAATGATACGAGTCTTCACTGGATATCCTGAAAACAATGTAAATTTCTTCACAGGCACATATGCTGGAAATCGAAAGTAGAAGGTGATTGCTTTATGATCCACACCCTCAGCAAATGAATTTCACTGAGATTTTCTGCACAGCCTAGCAATGCACCATTTGGTCAACATTTTAAAAACCTTTGCAATAAAATTCTTATGTATCTGATTATTCATCTGAAAACTTTAGCCGTCTGAACCGATCTGGATGTGCCATACAGAATATAAGAGCTCATGAACTATAAATGCTAAACATAGCTTCCTTTTATCTCTTCCCTTCATGGAGTAGCTAGGTGGTGTGCCCAGGTGGTCTCTTGAATTTCTGTCAGGGATCCTTAGCTGGGATGTAGTCGTTATCCATTTTAACTTTTTTGTGCATTTCCCCATTAAATTTCCATTCTCTACCTGAAGAAGAAGTGGTAATGTTTTCAGGCAGTGGTTATAAATGAAGGGCAAACTGGGGCTCACCTTGTTCTCTCAGGGCAAGGTACAGTGTTGGTTTGGAAGCTAAAGACTGGAGATGTAACCTGATCTTCGCAATGACCAAACTGATCTGTTCTTCCATAATTTCGCTGACTTTGTTACAAAGTGTTTCGATGATTACTAATAGTTCAGCTCCATTTCATCTGTGTATCACATCAAAACTCAGGCCCTTTACAGAGTGCTGTGAGCATTATCTGTGAATTTGTGGCTGTTAGTCACAGGACAGTTAACACATCTTGCCTGCTGAAATAGTAGAAAAACTAACTGACAATATACAGCACACTGCAAAGACTATCTGTGGTTTATTAGTTGCTTTTTTGAAGTTAGAAGCTCAATGTCTTCTATGCTGTTTGTTGTCTAGAAAGCAGTTCACACCAATTCAGAAAATGTTCTTCTCTGCAATAAGCCACAGACCCAAACAGAGCCTTGGTCACCTCTGTCCAGCGCACCCAGGGACTGCAGAAGGACAAAACTTATCTTTGATGATATGTAAGTACAGAAAACTTTAAAGTATAGTAAACAATGTAGCTTTCTGCATTTCAAAAGGGAATTACAATTTGTTCATCAGGAGCTGAGATATGGCCAGTATTATTATAGTAATACTGTACACTGAACAATGATTGAGACATAGTTTATAAAGTATTTCATTTATCATCATAAATTAAGCCCCTATCATCAGGAAGCAGTGAGGACTGGCTGTTCCCTAAGGGATGGAGAGCCAGGAGCAGAAGGACAGAAGATGGCTGGTGGGGTGAGGGCTATGCCAGCAGGGGTGGTCCAGTCACAGAGTCACTAAACAAGGTGATGAGGCAGGTCCAAGGTCAAGTCAGGAAGTCAGATCAGATCAGGATCAGGCCTGGTGAGGATAAACAGAGTCAGACACAGTCCAGAGACTGCCAGGTGTGCATAGTGATGAGGCGGATCTGAGGTCAAACCAGAAAGAAAGCCCCATTGTTGTGCCATGGCACAAGCACTGCTGTGACAGGGCTGAAGACACAGGCACACCTACAGCAAGCTTGGATAGGGAGTGAAGATTCAGACCTGAGCTTAAATGACTTTTTTTGGCCCATGGGCTGAAAAGGAATATCTGCGTGAGACATGGCAGGGCCATAAAGGGGAGGCCCTATTAGTTCTTCAGCATTAATTCTGCACACCTCTGACAACAGACATATACATATGCATATCAAGGCAGGGTGAGAGGGACTCCCTTCTTGTGCGTCCTTTGGAACAAGGGGAGAGGACAGATGGGAGCCTTGTATCCACAGACCTTGACAGCTGCTTCACTTGTTGCTACTGCTGCTCAGAAAAAGGTGTCACAAAGGCAGAGGGAGAAGCAAACAGCAGTGGCTGGCATGAATATCTGGAGGGATACCTGCCCCTCCCCACTTCCATTACATCTCTCAAACATCCCTGCTTTCTTCTTCTGAAAATAATTTAAGCTTGTAATTTCTTCAATTTCTTTTTGGTAAATTAAAACTGCTGGTTCATTTCCCACAATTGTATAGGATATGGTATCACATAAAGGTAAAACTTAAGATTGGAACCTTAATATCAAGAAAACTCAGATTTTTTTATTATTATTATTTTATTTTTGCCTAATAATATTCTGGAATTAAAATACTGACTCTTCTGGCCAGTGCAGAAGAAATTCTGTTCAAGCTATGTCTCAGACTGCCTGGAACATATAGAGCTTCATAAGCTGTGTTACCTTGACGCACCTTTTATACTCCCAGAATTTCACCAGTAACATCACTTGCACTTATTTACCTAGGGAAATCCTAAGAAAACAGCCCTGTTTTCTACCAGAATGGGGTTTTTAATAAATATTACTACTAATAATTGTAGTAATTTTAATGTTCATTTATGTCAACCTAGTCTCAGAGACAGCTAGAGGGATGACAGTATCTCATCAGGAGAATCCAGGTTTCCTGCTATTACATATAAGTAATTCCCACAGACTTTAAAATGATGTAACTGTATTGTTGTCTGTCAAGAAGAGAAGGCTGGTGAGATTAATTTCTGGGTACATTCCTGGAAGTCATGAGAAGATGTAAATTCAATAAACGTAATCATTCTTTCTGCTCCTTTTGGAGAAAACTCTCCCCTGTGTATATATCCTCATTTTTGTTCCTTTTCCACTTCCCTCCATGCTATTTTTCAAATTTTTCAACACATTTATTCAGTGATTTCCATTGAGGAAATTTGAAGCTGCTTAGAAGCACTACCTAAGTCTTCACATCTCTTGAAATACTTGAATCACCTATAATTTACTTGCCACTGTTCAATTTTTCTACACCTTAAACATGTACATACATGGGAAAAATGTATCAGTATACCTGCTAAAAGTCAAAATGTAGGATGTGCTCATCTGTTTGGATTAGAGAAAATACAGTCAGAAACACCTACAAGAGAACTACTGTGTCTTCATCTGATTCTCCATCAAGATGCTGACAAAAAAAAACTGGGGGACCATTTTGTGTTTTTGTGTTTTTTCCCTGCACAATTTTGTCTCAAGAAACCTGCTTTTTCTCACCATCTCTGTCATCTAGGAGGCTTTTATCACTTCTTTCTCCATTAGTGATACATGTGATTTCTCTGGCAAGAATCTTCAGTACAACTGTTTCACCTTTTCAGGGAGAGATACAATAAAACCATTGGTGTATAGTGCCTTACATGTAGAATGTCTCCAAGCAATTTACAACCCATTAAAAAAAAAAATCTAAAATGCCAAATAAGATAAAACACAGAAGTTAAATATGTCTTAATTTGCCCTTAAAAAACACAAATGTCTAAATGCCTGTTGTGCTAACTAGAGGAGGGAGACTTTCTTGTACTACAACTGTCATCCACAAACTGTATCTAGGAAACATCACTGAATACCAGCTATTGCAGATATTCTTGATCCTGACTTTACCACATAAAGAAGTCACTGAAATGTAGCAGATTGGACTGGCTGCAAATGTTAAATGTCAAGAAATTTGACTCATGTTAGAAGGATCAAATTAAACATGGCAGCCAATGTCTTTCAAATCCTTATAGTACCATAGCAGAGGATTTGAAGAAATGCAGTAGTGTGTATCTAAAGCCAAGTAGTAATCCTAATGGCAGCATTTTGTTCAAAATGATGCCTATGAAGTATTTCATCTCATAATCCATGAAGTTCGGAATTACTGTAATCTAGCCATGGCTTTAAAGTCTTCATTTTAATCAGACTCTGTAGTTTGAAGAGACTAAATCTCTTTTATTCGATTTAAAACAATAATTTTTTTGACCAATCAGCATCTCTGCTTTAGTCTCAATTTATTTTCTCCAGATCATTGACAACAGCTGTCACTAGCAATAAATTGGAACACAAGTAGGTCAATAAAAAGTATATCTTGCTTGGCAGAGTGCTGTACACACATGCATCAAAATATAAAAGTAAATATAGCTAAGAGTCTTCAAAAGGCAGCCAAAATACTGCTTTTCCTGAACTGCCATTGTTTACTGCCTGCTCTGAATGTGCTTCAAGGTATCCAGCATGGCACACATATATATGACATCCATGTTGCTCCCAGTATTAATTCTTAGTAAGATTTCCTGGATTTTTGGCCATTTCTGACTCTATGAAGAGAACATTTTAAAAGCTACATCATAATGCTTCAAGCCAAATTCAGTCCTGCTGTAATTTAGCTGAATGATAGAATTCCCAATAACTGCATTTAGGAACGAAGTCTGTTGTCCTTGAAGTGATAAGCACTGACATGCTGTGGCTGCCCGAGGGCACAGTCTCACACCTCCTCCAAACACTGCATGTGTAGTACAAAAAGAGCAGAGCATACTCAGCTTCCCAATTCTCCTTATGGCTACATGAGAACTTGTTCTTTGGGATTATTTTCTTACTTGCATTGTAGCTTACTCTTTCAAACTTCATGTGTGGTTTGTTCGTTTTTTCTCTTTTTTTTTTTTTTTTCTGGCCTTATGGGATCAAAGTAATACACCTTCCATTTTTTTTCAAGATTTTTTTAAAATTATTATTATCTTTTGTTGAATTTTCTTTCCATGGATTCAGGTGGTACCCAGCAGCTTGATATTGCCCCAGCTTTAGGAATATATCCTACAATTAGACAGTATTCCCATCTATAGATAAACTACACCTCCAAAAATATTCTGGCTGTAAAGGTGCCATGTATAAAGCTCATAAAAAGCTGAAGTGATAACTTCTTACCATATTCCTTAGTTTTGGCTTGGAGCCCAAGTCTCTCATTTTCAGTCTCTTTTTCCCTGTTCTTCTTTCTCAGTGTGGAAAGAACAAGGTGCTCTTGGGTTGTGACTCACAAAACCAGTGGAAGCCAGCTTGTTTCACCTTGATCAAAGTTCCTCAAATACTCCTGGTCTTCTGAAGTATTTGGAAAGACTTCTAGAGTGCTTAGCACACCCCCAGGAGCACGTTTAAGGAAATAACATATGCTCCTCCTTCTCATCAGCCACCTAAACAATTACCTGTCAGATAAACCAATGTCTGCTGTACTAAGTTCATCACAAATTCATATGCTTAATTTGAAATGTTCTCAATTATTTTCAGCATATGCTGCCCATGAGAAAATAACATTAAGCTCCTACATTGCATACACTGCTTCTGTGATTAAGTAATCGAGTTTCCTGTTCTCTGTACGACCACCTTCCCCCCCTTTTTTATAGGGACACTCTCTAAAAGCCTGTTTTGGTGGAAAGTAGATGTTTAAACAACTCCAGCAGGAAGTTCTCATGGGATAAAGGATTTATAGCCATTATACCCTGGTCCCAAAGAAAACCCAGGACTGCAGACTTCACTTGAGCTTACAGGCTACATCCATACCCCTCCTCTCCCTATGGGCAAGTGGTCCAGCACTATGTTTATATGACTGAACTGTCTTCACTCCCCAAAACAAAGAACACTCACTGCCTCCTGTGAACAGCCCTTGGCATGTGCTGTCCTCCAGCTGTGCCCAGGCATTGTCTGGGAGAAAGCTCAAAACTATGCCAAGGAGAGTATTAGCCATCAAACAGCATGAATGATCCGATGATAGAGCTGGTATCCTTGCTCTGCTTATTTCACTAGCACAGATGGAGCCAAGGTTTCACACATACTGTCACTCATCAATTTCACCCATACCTCACTCATCAGTGCTGGGATCATCAGAGGTGGCTGCCAGGTACTTCCTCTCATAGAAATATCTTTCTGCCTTTGGTTTGCAGTTGCCTGATGGGAATTCAGGGTGTATTGCCTGGCATATTAAAACAATGTAAGCCTGGGTAGCTGCGGTCCTACCCTCTCTTCCAGGGTTTGACTGTAAGTGTTTCCCTCAGCTTCTACTGAAATTAGCTGATTTCAGAGTATTTATCTAATATACGAGAAGAGAAGCACTCTGTAGTTTAACTGCAAGGCTGTAGAGATTTCTTCCTGTTTTTATCACAGGAGCTCAAGTGCCTATTGTTAATACCTTTTTCCTTCCTCCCTCTTTGCATAC